TCTTAGATCTAACAGTGATGCACTTGAAGAAATCATCTCATTCATCAAACGCATAGAAGTACTGAACAACATCAAAGTACGAGCTATAAGGAGTGATCATGGTATTGAGTTAAAAAATAGTGCTATTGATAACTTCTTTGAGAACAAGGGAATCTCACACAACTTTTCATCTGTGAGAACTCCACAACAGAACGGATTCACTGAAAGGATAAATCAAACAATCATTAAGGCTGCTCAATTCATGCTCAACGAATCCCATCTCCATACTCAATTATGGGCTGAAGCTGTCAATATTGTTTGTTTTACTCAGAATCGGTCTCTGATCGTCAAAAGATTCAAGAAGACAGCTTATGAACTCTTCCATAGCAGAAAGCCCTCTCTTAGCTTTCTTCACATATTTGGTTGCACTTGTTACATTTTCAACAACATATACCAACTTGAAAGTTCGATCCCAAAGCTGATGAAAGAATTTTTCTTGGATATTCTTCAGTATCCAAAGCCTTCAGAGTATTCAACAAACGACGACAAACTATAGAAGAAACTATTCATGTCACCTTTGATGAATCTCAATCAGCTAACTCTAAACCCATATTTGATGACGATGTAGAGTTAGAAAATTGAATGATTTCTCACTATGGACAACCTGAAGCTTCCTTCAGCAAGCAACCCATTGCTGACCCTCCAGAAGCTAATGACGATCTATGTATCATTCTAGATGTGACTAATAACCAAGGCAAATCCTCTTCAGGGATAGCTGCAGTGCCCATTAGTCACTTGCCCCCTTCTACTTCAAATACTGATTCTTCAGTCATTGAAAACCCTTTAGTTTCTAAACCTCTATCAGTTGTTGAATCTCTCACTGAGGCTCCTTTAGCAATCCAACCTATTGCTGAAGAATCTATTGTTGAAGCCTCATCTTCTATACCCGAGTTTCCAATCTCAGATGATAATCTTCTACCAGCTCATTGATGGACTAAAGACCATCCAATACATCAAATTCTTGGTGATCAAAGTGCAGGTATTCAGACATGTCACAGTCTAGGTAATGTCTATCTCTTTGTCAATTTTCTCTCTTTAGTTGAACCCAAGAAGATCAATGAGGCTATCTCAGACCCTAGTTGGGTCATTTTCATGTAAGAGGAACTCATTGAATTTGATAGGAAGCATGTATGGTACCTTGTCCCAAGTCCATCTGACAAAAATGTGATAGACACCAAGTGGGTTTATCACAATAAGTTAGATGAACAAGGAGTCGTGACCTGCAACAAGGCTCGTCTTGTTGCTTAGGGTTACAGACAAGAAGAATGAATCGACTATGACAAAAACTTCACACTTTTCCACATATATCGAGGGCTCTATCAGCCACCTAATAAGAGTTCTAAATTAAACTGCCAAATTAGCATTTAGCATATCATAATACTAATGAACAACTATTGATAAATTAACACCTTCCAATAATGAGCTCATTATGATGAATGGAATTGATTATCATGTGAAGGATATCATTGAATGTACTATTGTTGATAGGTGAAAGCCTATATAGGAATTACATTGACACAATGTTCACCTATGAAGATTGTTCATATATTGATACATAGATCTCTTATCAACATGGATCCCATGTGATAAGATCACATACATTATGTTCTTGTGAACATTGACCTTAAGTAATCAGTCCCTACACGAGGTTCTCTTATGAACATTGGGGAACACTGCTCCCTCGTTATCAATATTCTCTTATGAACATTAAAAAAAGTGTTCATCTATGAACATACAAGCTTGAATTGACAACAACGTTTCATCTAGAGCATATGCACCTTTAGCTACCAAGCCAAAGTTTTAAGGTTGAAAACACATGCATTATATTTGGGTCAAAGAATTTTCTTCAAAAGATTAACAATTGTAAAATTAGAGTACAACATTCAAATATTATACCTTCGGGTTCATTGTGTGATAATAAATTGCTACCAATCGTCTTTTCCCCCCTTTTATTCAAGCTCTCAACCTCCATGATTTGCCCCTTTGAATTTTTGCATCCACATTGATTGGGTTGTCGATTGTGTTCTTGAAGTTTGAAAAAGATGATTTTAACATTATTCTCTTGCTTTTCTTCCTCACTGGTGATTGACAATCAAAACAATTATAGAGGTTAAATGCAAGATCGACAACCCTAACCTTAGAAATTCTTACTTTACCTCTTAATTGGTTGTTATTGTCGCCAAATCCTCCCTAATCCACCATTGTTTTGGAACTCGATCATGAATTGGATTGCGGTGAAGCGATAGTCAAAGACGAGATTGGAGAATGCAGACGGTTTCGGTTGCAATAAAGGAGAAATTAGCATGCCTTAATCGATCACAACGACATATTTGATATATTATCTAGAAATACCCCTTGTCCCTAATATTCTCACCTATATTTTTTAATTTAATAGTGAAATTAAAATTAATTTTGCCATGATTAATCTCACCCATAGATTTTTAAGATGAAGGGTTGTGATAGGTTCACAAAGTTAATACCTTGTATTGGGTTAACAAAAGAACCCACCCCTACACACACACACACATATATACATATATATATATATATATATATAGGGGAGCGATCAAATGAAAACCACTCAATTTGTAAAAACCTCATTCAACCGATCATAATTTGATTTTGTTCATTTTTTTTGTAATTATGAGAGGTTGATTAATCATTTTTATTGTGGAGGGTGTTAATGATGGATATTATCATCTTCATTATTTTAATTTTAGAGAAATACATGAAACAGTTTCATTAAAATTTCATTAAGTAGTATATGAAACAATTTCATAACCTTATATAAAACAACTTCATCAAAAAAGTATTATATGAAACAATTTCACAAGATTAAACAATTTAATGAAAACATTTCATAAGATTAAACAATGAAATCGACGAATAAGGGTGGTTTGCACGGTTTATACAAATTGGAGTGGTTTTCATTTGATCGCTCCTCTATATATATATATAAGTGGAGGTGGAGGTGGAGGTGGAGGTGGAGGGTGAAGGTTCTAAGGAGAACATCTCTATTTTGTGAGAATACGTATGTGTGTGTGTGTGTATATATATATATATATATATATATATATATGGAGATGGAGGTTCTAACGAGAACATCTCTATTTTATGAAAAACATTTATGGGCCTCCAAATAGTTAACACAATGTTAAAATTAAAAGAAATAAAGTAATTAATCAAGAATAATCATGTGATTAGTTTCATACTTATCTGTAATTTCGGTGACATTCTTATCTCTAAAATCACATAAAAATAATACGCTAACCGGTATTACATAATTATCACAACAAAATCACATAACGAATAGACACTTTAATTAATGTAGACATGATCATCGTTACTTTTCGATTATCACAACATTATCACATTGCTATCACAACAAAAATCACATGATTATTAAATGATTATCATATCAAAATTACATCATAAACAATCTTCAATTTATTAAATTATTATCACGGCAAAATCAGATCATTATCGACAACGGACGAATCGACAAAAAATAATCTCCAATGATAATATCAAAATTTAAGGGATAAAGATAAATTTATGATGACAGAGAATAATGGATAAATATTAATTTGTTTTCATTTATTATAATTTAGAGGCCCATAAGTGATCACATATTTTCGTAAAACAAGGGTGTTCTCGTTTAAACCATTCTATATTTATATTATATTATAAAGTATTTGACAAAAATTCTTAAAAACCACTTTTTATGCATAAAATACTGTTTAATAATGCATGTTACTTAAAACTCAAGATTACAAGTAGATTGTACATAAGTACAACTTACTAAAGCTCCATATCTGAATTCATGTAACTAACTGCAGATAAACATAATCAAATACAAGATAAACATCTCATTTTAAATATAAAAATCTAAAAAATAATTAGAATAATCACCGAGTTCTAACATAATACTTAATTATTATCTTTATAAAATATTATATTATTAAAACAAAAATAAATTATTTCATTATTAAATTAAAACTAAATTATAATAAAAAAATAAATTAAAGAAATTACATAAAAAATAGAACTTTTAAATAATTGATTTGATATTAACATTGATATATTTTTTTTCAAATTTTTACGATATCTTTAAATTTATATTTTATTCAAAATAAAATCGTTATTGCTTTTTTAAAAACACATAAAATCGTATTATAACATCAACATAGACAAAGAATAAATAGAACGTTAAAATCAAGATGTATCTTACTACATTGCGCGAGTACCCTTCTAATATATATATATATATTAGAAGGGTACTCGCGCAATGTAGTAAGATACATCTTGATTTTAACGTTCTATTTATTCTTTGTCTATGTTGATGTTATATATATATATATATATATATATATATATATATAGAAACCCGTGAGACCACTTTTTTATACCTGAAATTTTATAGCAAAACACTGTGAAGGTAAAAAAGTCTAAACCTTCACAGCAAAAACAAGTTTTGCTGTAAAGTTTTCAAGTATAAAAAATGATTTCACAGGTATCATGAAAACATGTTGATCTCATATGACCTTAAGTCTCTCTATATTAATTTGATACCTATATCTACATGTATGTTGATATGTATTTTTTTAAGTATGGAAATGGAAAATCTCGCCAACCGGAGAGCTAAAAGGATTTTTCAAGTTTCATTCACATGTGAATATGGTCTTTAAGGAGGATATACGTGACTAGTTTACCATTAAAGTAGTTCTAGGCAAGATATATTTTCACGTAAGGATACATTAGAAATGATGTTTCCAGGTGAGTATGATGCACATGTGAATACATATCAAAATACCTGGAACGCATACAAAGTTTTCCACAGGCAGAGGCATACACCTTACAAGTTATAAGTTGAAGAATATCATTTTTAAAATTTCACATACATGGAAGACGATTGTAAACTTAATTTCCGATACTTATTCAACTTCTAAGCTTATAACACCGACTCCGAACCAGATGATTACCATAAACCCAAGTGGAAGAGTGTACAAACGCATTCTCCGACATAAAGGAACATATCTCTATGTATCTATACGTGTGTATATATACATATATATAATTTCAGTCGGACGGTTTCTTGACTTGACGAAGGGGCACGGAGTTTTCAAAGCAATGGTAAAAATCATAATGAGGATATCTCTCGTACCAGGTGTCTTGCTGGACATGGGTGTCCCAATGTTCACCGCTGCTGCTCTTACCGTATTTGTGGACCCACCCCGACCCATTATGACCTTCGCCCCACGTTTTATTCCATCGTTCTCCATGTTTCCCTTCCCACCATGTTTCTCCCTGTTTGACACCATGCCCATTTGGGTCAAAATGCTCATCCCATTTATCACCCCATTTAGTCCATCCATCGCCCTCTGAACGTTCTGCCCACTTATCCGTGTACTTCACGCTGCCACCTTGCCCATCGTACTTCTCACCCCACCTGCATGCATGCCAAATCACATATTTACGTTCATCTAATGTCAAGTTCAGTTAAGAAAATCAACATCATCTTATCCGTAATGGCTTGTAAGAGAATAATATATAGTTGGATTGCTTTTGATATGTTTCACCAACTGTTCATTTAGACATTGTAAAGCCAAAGATACGTTCTCCTTTCTTTCAATTGACCACATTTGAACCGATCAATCATTCTTAACCAACATTAGTTTCAACGAAATATCTCTCTCGAGGTTTTGCAATAAAGAGAGAAGATAAAGAAGACCAAAACGCCCATCGTATTAGTCTAAATCTCAATGGACTAAACGTGCAAATTGGTGAATATTATTAATAGATGATTTTCATAATCCACTTTCACTTTGTAAGTGTAATGTTTTACCTTTCATGCCACACATGAGCATGGCCAGCCTCCAGGTGTGTGGTTGGGTCAATGGTGCACCATTTGTGAGCCCACTTGTCAGCTTGACCAGCACCATAATTTTCAAACCATTTCTCCTGCCACTCATCACCTTCCCCATTCTTCCCCCATTTATCTGCAGTCTTTTCAATATGCAGACACCCTTCAATCTGCAGATAAACCATAAGTATGAATGTATGTAACATGAGAGACATCGTATGCCAAATTGAACAAAATCAAAGCAGTAAGAAACAGCTCTGCTATTGAACGTTGATTTGAAAAAGAAACGGGATGAGGCTTGTCAATAAAAGATTTTAGATATGTAGTACACATAATCAATAAAGTTTTCTATAAAAACAAAACCAAACGAACCCCGGTAAATCCCACATGAATTATGGACTGCAGTCAAACTAAGCCGAATGAATAGGATTTTACTGAATTCCACTCCAACAAATGACAAAAAACCTACTCCCTCCCAACTCTGGCCTCCCTTCTTATAACTCTTCGAAGCTAGTACCGGTGCCTTTGTCATTTTTATAATTCTTCGAAAGCTAATTGAGCGTCTCCAGTCCACTAAACTTTCGTTTCTTTACCAACTCGGTCCAAGGGTCTTGCAACAGCACCATACACTGTCACAAACTTGCAATAGTAGCCTGTTAGCCCAAAAACATTTGTAGTTGAGCGATTGTCTTCGGAGTTGCTCCACCAATGTTTGGTCCATCAATACTCCTCCTTTTGAAATGATATGGCCCAAATAACTAATTTGTTGCAAACCCCAATCACTTTTTTTTCCTATTAATATATAACTCATGTTGCTTTAGCACACTCTAAACCAATCTCAATTTCTCCACATGCCTCTTTCTCATACTTATTATACACGAGTATGTCATTGGAAAAGACTAGAATGAATTTCCATATCATTCATTAGTGACTGAAAAGTTGCTCGGGCTTTCATTAGACCGAAGGCATTTCGGAATGACCCATGTGCATTTGGAAACCCGTGTATGTCCTGTTCTTTCAGCCTTATCTGATGATATTCTGCCTTCATATCTAGTATCGAGAACCACTTAGCTCCTCACAATTTGTCCAACAGCTCGTCTATTATCGGAATAGGGTATTTATCCGGTATCATTTGTTTGTTCAAAGCTCGGTAGCCTACCCAAAAACACCAACTGTTGTCTTTCTTTTTTCACCAACAGAACACAGACTTGAAAAGGAGATACGGTCTGACATTAATAGGTTCCACCATCTATTCGAAGTTCAATCTTGTGTTTCACTCCCTCTAACCGGTGGTAACCGTTGTGGATCACGAAACACTTGCTCAAATTCTTGAATTACCTCCTGAAGGGTTGTTGGATAGCTATGTGTTTTATCTTATTTAATTTCAAACTGAGCCAATTCAATTAAAACTCCTTGCCCTTCTTGATTCAACATCTTGATCATTGATTTTAACGATACAAGAGTCCTCCCCAATGTTTCCTCTCCTTTCAATTTCATGTGTTCATTTCCTAGAACGGCTATGGGATATGAAGTCATGGGATGCTCCACTATCTATTAACACCACCAGTTGTTGGTCCTCTAACCATCCCTTGCAACTTCATTTTTTTCAGAGCTGAAAACCAAAACCACCGAATTGAAATATACTTATATCTCTTGTTCTTGCAATAAGTTGGCTAGTTCTTTATCATCGTCACTCATATCCTCCTTGTCGTCCCCATCTTGCAGCACAAGTATAATCAGTTCCTTCTTGTTGCATCAATGACCGGGCAAATAGTTCTTGTCACAATGGTAATGCAATAGCTCTTTGTTTGTCAATCGCCAAAATTTCAGTGTCCTCTTTGTATTCCACCATGCATTCCCCCTTTTTTCCTCCGGAGTCCTATCAGCGTTTCGCTTAAATGGTGAGTTCGATCTATATCATTTACTTTTGATTATGGCTTTGTTGTGCTCTTCCACCATAGCTGCTATTTTCATTGCTTTATTCAACCCAACCAGCGCCAACATCGTACCTCTGCTCGAATCTCTGGTAATAGCGAATTGATAAATTGACTTGTATAGACCTCCTCTGTAATTCCTTCCAGAGGACGCCATCTCCACAAACCTTTTTTTTTTATATTCTTTCACTGTTGTTGCTTCACAGATATCAACTGCTTGCACACAATTCCTTCTCCCACCACCCAGAAATGAATGAATAACAGTTTCTTCAATTCTCGGAAGTCACAGTCGGTCTCTGGTTGTTTTCTACGGGTACCATTTCAATGCATCGAACGCCACCTCTAACTTCTCATCACGGGTCAATTGATTCAGATTGTAGTACCTATCTGCCCTCCAAATCCACCCATCTGAATCGGTACCATCTAACGCCGGTAATTCCAATCTCCACCCGTCAATTGCAAAAATGGTGCGCGGTCCGTGTCATCATTCTCCTTGACGAACTCTTCTTTCCCCATCCACAGACGACTCCTCTTCGCCGTTCCCTCGCCTTCCCGCTTCATCTTGTAACCTGATCACTGTTGCAAGTTGTTGCGACGTCATTTGAACTGTTTCTTCCAAAGAAATCCTTAAAATTCTCCTCCACCTTAGTGCATGATGCAGTTGAGCGCAGCATGGATCAGATCAAAGTTGTTAAAGGCTCAAGGCGCACTTGGGCGCAAAAGGGTCCCGGGGCCTAGGTGCGGGAATGTGAAGCGCATCTGGTAAAAAAAGTATATATGTATACACATACACACACACAGCTATATACAACTCAAATATGTAGCAAGTACTCCAGTGCAGCAACCACAACCAACAGTACTTCGACAGAGGCAGAAGGGAGAAGGGTTTAAAGCGTGAGCCAGGAGGGAGAAGTTTTAAGGTCCGGGTATTTATAGAGAAAGAGGCTTGAAGTTATAAGAACTAGGTATTTAATATTAGGGTGCAGCTTATGTCATCTATATAATAACTCTTTTTTAAGAAGTCTAGGCGATAAGAAGATGAGAAAACTTATTTAATATTGGGGTTTGACTTGGTAGTTAATAACTCTTTATGAGGTGCACCTGGGCCCACAAGACGCCTCATCCAAGGCGCATGGTGTTAGTGAGCCTCGTGAATACGCCAAGCCTCGACTTTAAAAAGCCCAAGACCTTGAGCCTTATGAACCTCAAAGCCTAGGCGCACCTCAGGCGTGCTTTTAACAACTATGGACCAGATACCAATCGATGCAATTCAGTATGGATTACAAACCACAAGGCCTACACCCAATCTGCTAGGGCTACCTATATGAGGTCATGTCTTCCTAAATGCCTAAGAACTAAACAGTTTTCTGAACGGGGTTATTGCACATAAGACATACCGTGTCAAACAAATTTCAATATTGTATAAAAAGGTCAAAACATCTGATACCTGTGACATTGATTCTTTCCAGAATTCACGCCAAACATTTCCAGCAACATCACGACCTGATTTCTCAGAGCCAAGCTCCTTATACCCCAACTCGTCAGAAGCTTCCCAATATTTCTCTTCCCATTCCACAGTTTTGTCGGCACTAACACCCCTTGTCAATGTCCACCTGCAAACCACCCCATCTGGTCTTACCTCTGTTCCAGTTTCTTTCCACCACTTTGAACCTTGTGCATTAGTCCCTTCACATGATACTGGATCGACTTCTGCAAGAGCATGAGCTGCATCTTCCGCATGTGTTGAAAACAAATTATCAACTTCAGTTTCCTCTCTCAATTGAGGATTCTCCTCTAATACGGAATCCTGTTTTTCAACCTCCATCAGTGACTGAAAAGGTGGAAGAGGGGGATTATAATTGCTTTCAAACGGCAGTGGCATATAAGGTTCTAACTCCATCACAGGGTTTGGCTGACGCGGAGATGTTAATGTTTTTCTACTTGATGCAGATTCAGCTCCATCATCCACATTATAATCAGTATCAGAAGGTGGTACCCACGACCAGAAATTTGGACCTGGTGTTCCAATACTAGCCGACCCTGATGAACACAGAAAATATGTTAAACTCAAGCCATGCAACATTGTGTATGATGAATGAAATAAAGTCAATAAAGAAACGCAATAGTAAAGGAAATTATACATGAAATCCCACAATTTGAACTACATGTTCACCCGAAATTCAAATCATGTTGCTGAAACATCAAAACAACAAGCAGCCTCAGGCCATCACATGAAGTCGGCTTCAAGATCCATTAACATAATATCTTCACCACCACATATTTCAATTAAGGGTAATTTCGTTAATTAGTTCAGGCCTTCTCCTACACCACATATTTCAATCATTTTTAGAGCATATCAGTTTTCTTCAAAAGTGAAGAAGATTATTAACTTATTAAGTTGATCTTATGGTGCTCTTTCAGGTTAGGAAGAATGCCCAATATGGAAGTAAAATACAAAGAAACTATAAGAGTTTAGCCTACGAAAATGAGTGGCCTTGAGGGTCAAACAGCTTGCAATCAAAACCCACTCTTCCAGAGGTCGATCATTCAAATAATAAACATGACAAACTGCTTCAAAAACAAACAAATAGACAGATAATTTGACATTTATGAGGCAAATTACCTTGCTGTTGATCCCCAATAATGGCGTCCAATTCATCATGACCATTATCCAAGTTGCCTAATCCGTAGGAATCATTCTCCACGGTCATCTTATCATCCCTTAAAAGGGTACTGACAACAGCAATTGCAGCAGCTGCTCGATCAATCACCTGCGTTCTCTGGACTCTATCCCTCTCCTCCGTAGGAACTTCAAGAATCTTCAAGAACTCGCTGCTCTTCGTCTCTAAATTCTCGACTCTGCCGCCGGTCTCCTCTTTTCCGGCCACATTCTCCGCAATTTTCTTGAACTCGATTTCTTTCCTCTCCCTATCCATGGCCTTTTTCCACATACCCATATACGAATCTCCGTCATCTGAAACTCTAATAGCTCCGACATTCCGTCGATTACCTTTGGCCTCACTTGAAAATAAGAAGCGTCTTGGTGCTTCTAGAAATCGTTGGTTCTTGGTGTAGCACGGTGTGAAAGTGATGTAAAAATGGGACGCCATCTCCAATTAGCAACTAAACCCAGCAAATATCATGGAAAAGGCGGCAATAAATCTGTGCAAATGAAGGTGACTTTAAGCAGCAAAGCAAAGGGAACCTATACTTTTCTTGGAGAACGAAAAGCATGGCTTATATATGAAGGAAGGTAGAGAAGAGAGGGAACGTTTTCAGGCTACACGTGAATCGGAAGTTTCGTAATATCTTGTCGACCACAATAGTAAATTACAAATTCAGGGTCGACAGGGAGGGGTGTTAGAACATAAGATCTAGTTTTTTTTTTTTTTTTTTTTGGAAATTTATAAAAATAACCGGTTTACATAATCTTTTGCTACAAAATAACTATATTTTAGAGGTTTTGTCAGAATGACCATACAGATCGCCCCCGGGGGCGATCCGTACACAATGGGGGCGATCCCCCCTTAAGTCTAAAAAAAACAAAATTTTTTACTGTTCATTCCTCGTTGACTGTGCGGGGATGTTTTTAATAAAAATAAAAAAAAACATAAAGTGTGTCTTTTTACGTATTTAATTTTAAATTTCACGGTTTTTCGTTATAAATAATCGGATGATAATTGTGGTTACGAAAAAAAAAATATTTAGTTGATTTTTGGAGAAAAAATCAGACATTATATCTGATTTCGCAGTTTTTCATGATATGACACTATATGACGTCGATTTGACGCCGATTTGACGTTGATTTGACGATGATTTTGTTTTATTACTTAACGTTTTATATAAATTGGACGTGGGGGATCATTCATCCCCACCACCGCCCCTTTTCTCGGGAAAAACCGAGCGAAAAACCGAGCTTTGGCCATCCCATCGGCCATCCCGACCAATATCGATGTCATTCTTCGACATACCGTCATAGACTACCGTATAACGACATCGGCGACCTTCCGCCGCCACCGACCACCGTCATCGGCCGCCCCTCACCACCTTCCGGCACCAACAACCACCCTCCGCCACCAACGACCACCATCAAGAGCCGCCGTCCACCACCCTCCTCCGCCACCAACCACCGTCTACCGCCGCCATCCACCACCGTCCGCTGCTACTATGGAAACACCGGTAAATACTCTATCTATCTTTATATGTATATGTATTTATCTATATATATGTATATGTATATGTATCTATCTAACTCTCTCTCTATATATATATATGTATCTATATATATATATATATATATATATGTACCGTTTATATTGTTTTTTTTACGTTATGCATCTCTATATATATATACGTTACCACAATTTATATCGTTTTTTTTACTTAATGCATATATATATGGCTGGTTCAAATATAAACCAACCATATGGTACAAACTATGTGAACCGATCTTGATCGTTCATTTTATCATCAAACGGTTATTATTAAATGAGATTAAATAAACAATAATTTAATTAATGTATTAATTGATATGTGTATGAACAATTGT